TCGAAGTTTACAATACAACGATTCTTTAGACGAGCGTGTAATAATCCCTGTACATTGCAATGGAAATAAAGTCCTTGCATTGATTGATCCTGGTTCAGAAATTTCATGTATATCCGACCGCTTTGCATTAATGAAAGACATTGAAAGGCGAACTCAAACTACTCACCTAATCTTAGCAGATGACAAAACTTCTAAGTGTGATACAAAGGCCACAGATGTTAAAATCTCCCTGGCTGATGATAGAAATATCACTACCCAAGCTGTGATAGTTAAGATGTCACAGAAGTAGGACTTAGTAGTCGGAATGAGTGACTTACTCACTCTAGGTATAACCGTAACTGGTTTACCAAATAACATAGATCCATTAAAGAATCAATCAGACGATAACTGTCTAAAACCATATAAGCCCCCGTCAGACACAGTCAAGGCATTAATACCTGACTTTGCGGACAAAATCATAGATCTGATTCTAGTAAATAAGAAGATAAAGATCATAGATTGGGCAAAATTCCGTTTTAACGACGGATATGTCAGCCTTGACTTAACCAAGGTAGACTTTACTAAGCTCAAAATGCCCTTCAAGAAACTATGTTTCTTGGAGACACGAAGCTGTAGTAAAAGAACAAGTTGAGAAATTGTTATCCGAAGGGGTAATCGAAATCAATTACCATTCAATCTAAGTACACAACCTTTCTTCCAACAACCATATACTGCCGCTCATATTTCACCATACACTGCAGATGATTGCGAGACGACACTTCAGAGTTTTCCAGATACTAACATTCACAGCTCAAACTATAACACTATTGAACCTAATGCCACACCTTTTCATAATAAAACTACTGAACATATGCAATCGCTCTATAATTTCTACGCGGACGATAATTTTTAATTCCAGATACTCGCCTAGATCCACAGCAAAGAAGCATGGCTACGAAACTACTGACATTTATTAAACACTCAGAAATGCAAGACCTTTTTTCATGGCTTCATCCTCATCACGAAAATACTCCTAGTTGTTCACAGCGACAATTTCTCTGAATACAAGGTGGCGCAGGAGTAAAAAAGACATGGTCAGTAAATATTGTCAAAGATGAAGTTCCTCATTCCCATGCAATACGATTCAATGCGTTCACCGGAGTAGCTTCCATTCTACTACGAGATGGCGAAACACTATCTTAGCTATTCTATTTGGCGGTATAAGCATAGTTCTGGCGCAGGAGTAAGAAAGACATGGTCAGTAAAAATTGTCAAAGATAAAGTTCCTCATTCCCATGCAATACGATTCAGTGTGTTCACCGGAGTAGCTTCCATTCTACTACGAGATGGCGAAACACTATCTTAGCTATTCTATTTGGCGGTATAAGCATAGTTCTGGCGCAGGAGTAAGAAAGACATGGTCAGTAAATATTGTCAAAGATAAAGTTCCTCATTCCCATGCAATACGATTCAGTGCGTTCACCGGAGTAGCTTCCATTCTACTACGAGATGGCGAAACACTATCTTAGCTATTCTATTTGGCGGTATAAGCATAGTTCTAATGGAGATTTAAAACAACTTCCTCCGTGTAAACAGCAAGCAGTTCACAAAACAATGTTACATTGCACCAACAGAACCAATGAAGTAGCTGCCAAGCACATAAATTTCCTGTCCCACAAATTTTGTGTGGTGACGCATAAGTATATCCTTTTTTTAGAAATAAAATTTACCCCAAAAGGCAACTTGTTCATAAAATCACATAATTTATTTTTAATTTGTACAATCGCGCTTGTTGGTTCCGACTATGATACTTCCGATCCAGGCCAGCCAACACATACCGAATTCATCCGTGGTCTGGTGCGGCATTGGCTTACCCCCATCCTCGCTTCTTGACCGGATTATGACGGATAACCTGGTCCTTCTCGGTATTTCGTACTCTGCACTAACCCATTCCGCGGCACTACCCGGCGCAGACCCGATCCGTACCACAGAGGTGGGTACTCTACTTAGTAGGTCAGCAAGCGAATATATGAAACATTCGATAGAAATAGTGTTTTTTCAACATCGTCCCGAATTTACTCCGCACATATCTTCCATTGTCGACTCACCTGGCTCAAGCTTCAAAAGGGAATTTACTGACCACTTCTTCCCATGAATCTTTCCTGAACCACTACAGCGACTATGAGAGCCATACCATATGTTCATACATTGTTTCATACATACTTGCCATTTTTGAAATAAATAATAGTATCCCTATCTTCCATACTCACACATATGCACATACAGGCAAATGTTTCACTTCCGCTATGTTTATAATCATATATCCACATACATGTCATTAACCTTTTAGTATATAAACTAGTCTATCTCAGAATCATATATCCACATACATGTCATTAACCTTTTAGTATATAAACTAATCTATCTCAGTTTCACATTTATACATGTAACATAATAAACACATTATACCAACAAAAAAACTTACGTAATGGGTTTGAACTACACGCCCGTCCGCAAGTCTCTTAAAAGGGGTCAGATAGGACAGATCAGAAGCCATAATCTCAACCATAATCCGGTCATCGCTCGCATTAAACTCCAGCTCATCCATGGTGATATGCTCAGAAATGTCCAAAAGGGCGATGTATCAGGTCTGGATATAGAGGTGGTCAATGTATTGAAAGATAATGATGTCCTTGATATCCAACATCTATTCCAATACGATAATCCACTAAATGTGGATGGCATGGTGTATGCAAAAGTATATGGAATTGATGTTAACAATTGTAATGCTCCCAACACTCGTTCCTTTGATTGCCCCCTTGCAAGCATTGATTGTGTACAGGATTCTTTACATATTATGTTAAAACAGGTCTGTGAAAAAAACTGGTAGACGACTACAGTGGATTTCTGCCGAGGAAGATATTCAATTGCATGAATCTCTCATTATACAATATTGTTTTGGTCAGGACAACTCTCTCATACTCTTAAACGGTAAATGCTACATACACCTTCGTAGAGAAATATATCGTAAATATACTTCAATTACCTTCGATAACGATGAAGACGGTTACTGTTGGATAATCGAACCATCAAAATCCACTACCTGTCTCCGCTGGCTTCAAGAAGACTTGGATATCATTTGCGAACAAATCACAGAAGAGGACGATACTTCCATGTACTAACCTGCATATATACAAAATGACCTTTCTTCCAGGTACAAACCTGTATATATATTCTATGTTATAATTATAATTATCTCTTCCAGGCACTTACTTTTATATTCCACTTTACTCACAGCCCCGTCTACCTGGCACAAGAATCAAATAACGTCCAACATGCTGCAATTATTGCACTTTGAATTAATACCAGTGGGCACACACATACCTTTTGTTTACTCAGTTTCCAATTTCACAACCTGTTCAATTGAGATACACAATTGCACACGTACTAGTATACAGCATCGACATCCATTTTACTTAATTTTACGTTATTATCACCTTTACTACGCACGAAACTCACAATATGTAATAGAATTTACAATTGTATTCAATATTAATAAAAGACACATCACAAACTATAGTCTTACTTCAATTACTCTTATGACTTTACCAAGGGTTCCATTAGAACGTATAATAAAAATATAAAGTCTTACTTCAATCAGATGCTGCCAGTTCCCCTCATTAATTACTGATGTCCTCCATTGCATTGCACACATGCATAGCACATGCAACGAAATTATAGTCTTACTTCAATTACTTTTATGACTTTACCAACGGTCCCATGTTACATTTGTATTCAATATTATTAAAACGTATAATAAAAATATAAAGTCTTACTTATATTTGTATTCAATATTATTAAAACGTATAATAGAAATATTAAGTCTTACTTCAATCAGATGCTACCAGTTCCCCTCCTCAATCACTGATATCCTCGATTGCATTGCACACATGTATAGCACATCCAACCTGTTCCGGTCCTCAATGCACTAATGTCCACTTAAACCATGCAAAATTTTTTACTAGTTTTGAAAAATTACCACATATACTATGCACAATACTTAAACCATGTCAAACAATCAGTTCTTCTTGATTGCACACAAAGACACGCGGGTCACACTGCAGCACAACAAACCAAACAATGCACACCTACATGCCTTCAAGAATACAGTCTTATATTCTACTTACGAAGTATTATACATTCCTTTCCAAACACTGTTCACATCACCTGCACTCCTCGTATGAATAACCTCATGAACTCCCCAACATACAACTATATATTCACCTAACATGACCATTTTACACTCACACTTATCAATACCTTGCTATTTGGCCTCTTTTCATACTTAACACTTCAAAGTTCACAGTTCTCAGTTTTCCTTATAAATGCAAGCATTTTTGTTTACTCCCTTTTTATATTTTTACTACTCCCAAACCTTCCAAGTCCTAATTTTCTTTCCACTTCAAATTTACTTCTTCAATTTCAAATTTTCTTTCCCTCTTCAATTTTTCCTTTTCAATTTCAAAATCATGTGAATTTTTTTCTACAAAGTTAACGCTTTCAGTCCCCGTGTCGGAGACATGTTTTATTATTAGTTTAAAAAAAAATTGATGTGAATATTATATGTATTTATTGGTGTCAATTCTAGACCGGCAGCCGACGCTATCTATATATAGACCCAAGTGTATTTGGCGGGGAAATTAGTTACACCATTTTATTGAAGGAAATTGCAGAGCACTGCCGTCGGCCATACGCTGCGACTGTGCGCTGTGCGACAAATTGTGTGTATTTGCTTCGAGCAATACACTCCCCTGAATTGAATTGAATTGAATGTGTATGCGTGCATATAGACGAATAGTTGTCTGTGGACAGAAATTAGATGGTGACTATGATGATAAGGTGTGTATCGTGGGTGTATACAGAAGAGCCATGAGCCGTATGTTTTCATGCAATATCTGCGTTGTGGGAGTTAACATGTGTATATACAAATGCTCTAGTATCGGTTAGGATTCCTCTCAGGTGGTAGAGGTTACATACCGAAAACGGCTGTGTTGCATTTTTCTTGGTATGTTCTTTGCGTAAGACATGCAAGTTTGATCACTGTAGTATCGCTCAGCATCCCTTCAATTTGGTAGGGCTCATAATTTGAAAACGACTGTAATATATGTTTAGGTAAAGTAGTCGCAAGCAGGTACAAATACCTAAGTATATTTCGTATTTCTCGCACTTGATACAGTTTCAAAACTGGAAACGACCGTAACATATGCGTCGTGGTATAGTACTTACATATGCAAGTACAAATACACTAGTAACACGTATCATTACTCTAAATAGTGGATTTCCGGTCTGAGAACGATAGTGGTATGCTCCTCGCGACAGTGCAGAGGTGAATAGAAAAAAAATGTATATATTACAAATTGTAACACAGAAAGTTTATGCAAGTAAATTTGTATATGACAAACATAGGGAGTTACGGAATAATCTGGAGTAAATAATATATACGATTTACTTATTCATACCTTGAGCTAGTGGATGCAAGCGAATATATATATGGTGCAACCTGAGAGCTTGTGGAATAATCCCGAGTTAAAAATGTGCATTGACACAGCTGCAATGCATAGGGTATGTGATATAATATTAAGACACAGCTGCAATACACAGGGTATGTGATATAATATTAAGATTCTTTCGAAAGCTCAATGTTGTATCATATACACTGTGCATTGCAGTTGTGTCAGTACATGTTTGTTTCTCAGGATATTCTCGTATACTCTTACTTAGGATATTCCCTTACTCTCTTCCAAGGACATTACTGTAAACTCCTTATCAAGATATTCCCGTAAACCCAGTATATACTGACAGGGATATTCTAAGTAAGGGGTATGCACTGACACAGCCGCAGTGCACTGACTGAGATGTCATGTATGTTTTATGTGCAATGACCGAATATGGAGGTACAAAACGTTTCGTGCGTGCCAGTGGGTAGGGCCATACATATGAGTGATACACAGTGGTAGCGTGTCCAGATCCTACTATTCTTTCACATAACTTACTTAGCATACTTGGATACCTGAAGAGCGCTTCTCAGCATATTATAATACTGAACACATAAGAGTGCCTGGTGGGGGGCAACGACACACCTTTAGCACTATACACCTTCTACTCCTGGTTGATGTTTGTTAATATCTTTTGCGCGTCTACTACTGCTATGTCTAATGATTACAAACGAATAACATTTGAACTGCAAAGAAGTCGTACACGATGCTAAAATAGTAAGTGATTGATTTTATGAGTGCATCTGTAATGCCAGTGCTCTGTGTACCGTTAGCATATTCTACTCGTCTCTATTTTGAAAGTGCTGTTGCTCACTATATAGTACAAACAAAAGCTCGCATATATGTTTTCGTAAATATGTAATGGCACGATAAGCTTGCGATTTCTTTTGTACTTGCGCAGATGCAACTGTAGCCCGATGAGATTACGCGACATGTACAGTGATTTCCGGCGCGATGGATGGTTCATAAGGGACTGCTGCGGCATCTTCACAGCGCTGTAAGTGTTTTTTAACATCATGCACACTACATGTGCCATATTTGCAGCCAAAATGACGGCATTGGAGAGGGATATAATTGCAGGCACAACACTACACCAACATCATTGACCATCGTATATATTCAGCCTTGAAACAGGGCGAAGATTGAGGATGAATATATGCCGGTTCCTTGGCACGCACTTCGTTAATGCGCGTTAGACTTCATTCCTTTCGTCGCATTACCACTTGGCGACTGAATCACTGTGACGTGTGCGGCAAAACAATTAGGCTCTCCATCCTACTAATCTAAGATTGACACACATGCAGTTTAACGCACGTGTTCATATGGTTCGCCGTGGTAGTCGTATGCACGCGAGTCATTATACCGATGTATAGCGAGTCCACCTTGTTGATGCTATGTGTACTGCTGCCGTACCTGTGCCTGGCCTGCTTAGCTGGATTCTCGCACATAATGTGCATGCTTTCTGACCCAGGTACGTGCCACTCAGTGTGCGCGGTTCTTTATATTTCGCTATCTAAACAGGCAAGTGAATTTTTCATTCGCGACGTTGGCGGTGTGTTTAGTTTGGGCATGAGCAGTAGCCCGCGGCAGAAAAAAAAAGGTGCACGCATGAACGCAAACGCTTCTTGTTCATATACAAGTACAAGAACCTCTATATTCACAACAAGCGAGGTCTTCCAATCAATGATACTGTGGCCAGGTGAACATCACAATCGGCACTAATTTGAGTCACAATTTAATATATATATATATATATATATATATATATATAGGCTCGATAAAGAAGTTCACAGCAGCGTCAGACGGCCCCGAATTCGAACTTGACGAATTTGGAAACAGGAATTCATTATGTACAAAATGTCGGGTATGATTGATAACTATTTCCGACAGGCTATAAGAGCCGTAGCACGACGCGTTCGTCAATCAATGAACGCCCACTTTGCGATTGAGCACGCCTACAATTCCATTGGCGTGCCATTCTAAGTTTTCTAGTCGGAAGTACTGCATGCGTAGTGAGTTGGTTTGCACCATTCAAGCCCTTAATTCGAGTCCTCATCTGGATTATCAAATGCTGAACTGCGGCCGATGCTGGCAGCGCGATGTTGACGCTATTTGTCTATGAGCTTCTTGTCTATACGATTCAAGTGATATTTAAGTTAGCGGCAGTTTCTATGTTTCGTCAGTCTCTTCATTGGTTTATTCTATTTAACCGATTGGATAAGAGATATTCGTTGAGACACTCACATACTCGTCGCACTTTGCCTGTCAGCTGATGAAACCGCACCAAGCCCACCATTGCAGCACCTGCAATAGATGCATTGAGAAGATGGATCATCACTGGTATGTTAGTTTCTGTTGTATTCATAAGCTCAGCGTAGACTTTTTGTTCTGATATATATCAATATGCCTACAAGACAAAATTCGGAAGCATATATTTCAAGTGCGACTCAATGATTATGATTTTTTTTTCAAGCCTGTGTCGAACCGATAATCTGAATTTTTTATATCGAAACAATTTGCAAATCTGATCTTGTGAATATTACACTCTTGATGTCTTCTCGATAGGACAGTCCGTGGATGAACAATTGCATCGGCCGACGAAACATGAAGCACTTCTTGCTGTTTCTGCTTTATATTTTCCTGATATCGATGGCTTCCATCGGGTTGATCTTACTACGATTCTTCGATTGCAAAGACGTATGTGATAGACATTTATCATCGCCTGCCTGTCTGAGTCATTATCAAGCTTGTGTACGATAATCTGCTTGCTTGTGTTTTTATGCTATTTGTGAACTGCTTGAATTCAGGTCGTGGTTCAATATTTGAATTTTTTCAATCTCATATTCGAGACACGCGGTTTGTGACGGGTTTGAGCAGTCCGTTGTCTTGAAATCTTGTATATCATCGCATCCTTGTGTGCTTTGATATTCCTAGTAATTTCTCATGCTGATGTGTGACTGTTTCTCCCTTGTAGCTACAATTGTATAGTCTTCCTGCTAGTTTCACGCTCGATGATCCGTCATTAATCGCTTGGCTTCGTGTGTTGATAGGGAGATGCAAGCCTGCCATGAAATTGATAAACGCTTTCCTGATCCCTTTTAGTGCTATGCAACCATGTGTTGAAGATTACTAGCTATCATTGCGAATTGTACCTACGACACCGTATATTTTAATTACGGACTTACCCTAAAATTCAGGCATAGTTTAACCATTTGCGCGCACACAGACTCAATTCAGTTTCCAAATGTATTGTGTGCAGTGGCGTGTGTATGAACTCGCATCTTAAACCAACATCTTGTACATTGGCACGGACACAGTCGGGCTTTCGGGATGAATGCGGGCAGGCGTCTGATCTTGGGTATCTGGGGGGCGTTTGTTTCGAGGGACTTCTGTTTGGTCTGTTCACCTGTGGCATGATGATCGATGTTCTGACGTCGCTGGGATCCAATACATCCACGGTAAGTTTGAAGTTCAATTCTTCAATGAACAATTTCGAGTGCGTGTCCGGAAGATGTAGATATGCGTATATACCAGCGGTCACCCGAAGCTCTTTTGCAAACATGTACACGAAAGCATATAAGCTGCTAGCCACTTTTGCAGTCCTTTCGATGCATCGATATACGAATAAACACGGCGCGGGTGTATATTTCCAGTATTTCTTGCATATACTTGAGCGAATATAGTCGAGCGAGTCGTCTGTATTGTCCTTATCGCGAATCTACATTGTATCTATAGATTGATCGGATGAACAATCGATTTGGAGCCAAGCGTACCTGCCGAGATGGAATAGAAGATGCCTGTGGAGGCGCACTGAGTTGGAGTTGGCTTTGGCCGTTCGCACCTTCATATCCCAAGCGCTCTTCTGGTGGCAATGTATGTCCTTTATTCCTTTCCAGCAGTGGTTTTATATTGCTCTGTCAACATGCTCATCCTGACCTATCCCTTTCCGACGCTAGTCTCACCGTATAATGCAATTCAAAGAATTTGTCAATGAATTGTATAGTCGTATGTTGTTCATTGACTGCAAATTTTTTTTCGTCAAAGTGGTCGTCTTTGTTGCACGGTACCGAATTCCAATGTCCAATGTGAGCGTCAGTACCTCAGGTTAGATTACGGAAGAAATATTTAGAATTACCAATAGTGCAGCCTTCTGATACTATCAAAGTCCCCAAGGTTCATCTTAATTTCAAGCTGCTGCAATGCCCATACTTAGGTTTGATTTTTTCAACATCTTCATGATCTTGCCTCTAGCTTAACTCCATTTCGTACATGCAGGCCGTCCAGACGCTGGAGATGTTACCTGGTGACTCCGACTCTCGCGCTGTGGAGGTGCGGAGTATAAGCCCTCGGCACTACAATTCCGCAGGGGATTCACGAGACAACCAAATGGATACACAGCAGCTCTTATTGAATGATGATGAGCGGATAGACGCCATTGCCTGAGAGAGCTCAACTGCCAGACCAGTGGTTTTTATTTTAAGACGCACCAAAAACCATCATGTATGTGTTGTGCAGCTATCCATAGCATTCTGGTAGAACTGCCTCAGCTGCTCTCGTCGGCCTGTGGCAACAGCATGGATTTCACCGTGCGAGTTGTCGTGCGGTATACAAATTGCGCAAGATTATCGTCGCTAAAGCGCTCAACTAGACAAGTTTTCGAGGCTGTGGTCGAAATGTGTAGTATAGTGCCAATCTCGTGAGCGAGGTGGCACAGGATCGTCTCTGATATTTGCGCTTGATTGGCCGAGAGAAAACTCCATGTATACGTTCGCCAATTCTGGTATCGATGGAAATTCCGATATATTCTACATAGGAATGATCTATCTATTTCATAGCTAGTCAATCTAGATTTGGCTGCAAATGTTCAATGTATGGCCTGTGGGCCATTGCCATCACGATGGTATTTTCTATTGTACTTTTGCAGCACATTACAATAAATTAAAGCCGATAGACAGACTGTATGGTCAATACCTTTTCCTATCTATACCTGGACAAATGCATGTTGAAATTCATCTGTGAAATCGACCCGCATTTTATTGAGAGATCCAGGGTCCTTTTATGACTGAATATAATTCAGTACTAATCAATACCGAGGACTTATAATGTTAGTCTCAGAACAAGGATCGCAATGGCGTAGGGAGTCAGTGGGCGAAGGTGCACCTGTTTCGCAATTACTTGCAACAAAGAGTAATGCGCCTTGGGAGAATTTCTCAACTAATCAGGAGTACAAGGGGCCAACCTGGCGTGAATTTCAGCCGTTATCAATCGCAGCCGGTGCTGTCAGAATCTTGATCAATGCCCTGGTTCTGTGCAATTTAATGATTGTATTGATTGTGACTCTAAATCCTCCTCTGTGAAGCTTGTCGATTCCTCGGGGTCGAAAGAGAACAGTGCTTTGATCGCTTCACAAGCTACCAACTCCACTTCAACGTCCAGAGAATTGATCGATACAACAAGTATTATGAAGATATCAGGCTTGTTATCCTCGGCCCATTCTCTCAGCTCTTGATTGCTTTTGCTACTATGTAGTGATACGAATGCACTCAGTTCTGCCCGTAATTCTTCTGGCGATCTAAAACGCTTGATCGTTTCCAAACACTGGAACGGGTTGATCACGGCCTTCATCAAGCCAACCCGGCGTGAACTCGTCTTATTATCTTGCACAACCCTGGCACTAGCTGTAGGCCGTTCCACAGATGTCTCTAGCACACGTGTGGTCATGGTCTTAGACACTCACATTCAAATCTTTACGCCATCAACTAGAAAGCGTCTCGTACAAGATGCAATGCCGTTTTCAGGTTCTCCGGCATGATACATTGTGGTCATATATCAGATGTGTTCAGCATAGGTGTCTCAATTTCTTAGGTACTCATATGTTAAAGCAGCCACCTGATTCGGCGTGACGCCTTAGCCCACATATTTGGGCACCCTGATTCATTCAGCATGTCCGCTGACATGTCATTCCACCCAATCGCACATGATCTATATCTTCGGATTCACTTAGCGTGCTTATGGCTGGTGGTGCATTCACTTTCACTGCCCACCTTCGTGATTTTTCTTTTGCGTGAGGCCGGCGCTTCCCTTGCAAGGTCTCGGACGTCATCTACCAGGTCCATAAGTTGGTCATTGTCCTGGTGATGTACCTCAAGTCTTTTGATATGGGCCAACAAGGCCTCCTTCGAGAAACCTGCGAGTCCTTCCGAATTGAAATTGCACAGCGCTTTGATCGCTTCAAATGCCACAATTTGCAAATCGGCATAGTCGGGATAGAGTGCAGCCGCAGTGATTACTGAAGTATCGGGAGTCTCATCACCAGCCCAGTCTTCCAACTCCTCACTGGTGTTGCTTAGCACCAGGAACGCATGAATCCCTGCCAGATATTCCCTTGGAGATCTGAATTGCTTGGATGCTCTCAAAATGTGGAACGGGTTGAGCGCAATATGCATTGCATCAACAAACTCTTTGCGCAACTCGCACAGGTCTGACACCAAAGTGCATACCCCTAACAGTACATCAGGCCATAAGGATGACCGCTCTAATAGGGTTTGGATATGTTCTTGGATTTCCATGTCGTCTATCAGTATGGTTGCAGACACTGACCTGCCCATAACGGCATTGATCATTATATAGCACGAGTGTAGCTGGATTTCACGAATATATGGGAAACGCTGCATTGCATCTACCACAGTTACCAGCACATCGCACTCAGTCAGATAGTGAGGCCCGGTGGTAAGTATCCTATCGCTCATCTTTTGCAACAACATCAGCGCTCCCTTCTGCAGGGCTGATCGGTTGGGAAACTTACGCATGGCATCCCTGATCGATATGTACATACTCATACAGCATGTTAAACTTGCTCTTAACCCACCGTCGTCAAGACAGCCCGCCGCAGCGCTGAAGCATGTCTGTAATACCTGTGAATCGGTCTTAAACACAAACATGTTCATCTTGATAATTTCCACGACATCCAGCTCTTTACCGTCCACAACCAGCCTGCGACTAGGAAAGTCTTTATGAGCCACTAGCTTATGCAGCTTGTCCACCCAGCCTACACGGTCCTCAAACCAAGTTTTTAACAGTGGATCGATCTCAGGACAAGAAGCGACGCACTCATTCATTTCGCGCAGAGTGAGCTCACGTTCTAATGGAACTGTGCATGCCTCCAAATAGTTGCTGGGAATGTGTTTAATTACTGTCTCGTTCAACCTTTCCACATAATAGCTCCATTCTCCGTACGAAAAGAACACATCAACCACATCTCCTACATTGAGTAGCTTGTATTTACACAGCAATCGCATCGGGGTCGTTGAGCGCACCGCGGCCATACACACAGCTTCCGAATGAGTATCCGTTAGTTCCTTCATGGTGCCTGCTAATCCACACTTCACACATTTAGCGGACATATTAGCCACGCGTAGTGTGCACTCAGACTTTTCTACTATCGTTGCTTCTTGACGCTCTCGCCGACAACTGGGGCATGTTTGGTGTGTCTTTAACCAAGTGAGGATGTGTATTTTGCAAAACACAGCGGGACAGCATCCAATCTGCACTGGTGCTGTTGGCACACTCAGGCAGATGGGACATTTGATGGTGTCTTCCGTGAAAACTAACCGTGCACTGTCGTTTAGCATGGTAAATGCACCAATATATGCCTTGATAGTCTATCTCAGAATTGGTTTTCACGCTTTGTTGAAGTATGTACAATGTATACTACTATTCAACACTTATGAATAGATATATCGTACTACAGTCACAGCTGTGATCCTGTTCCTATTTCACTTTGAAAAATATGTTATTTAATTACCCTTTCCTGTGGACACTTTTACGACTCACGAGTCACGACTGACGAGTGCAATCAAACTGCCCAATAAGGCTTTCCAACGAGTTTTGGCGGCATATATCCTGTGAGCTAACCGCTATAGGCCTCTAAGTTTATATAGCCTACTATGTGTAAATAAATAATGGGACTCAGTGACGGAGTAACACTGTGACAGTCAGACAGTCCAGACTTGGGTACTCTGTCAGTCCGTCTTAAAAACCTGTACGTATTTTTCTCGGGATTTACACGGGTTTAACGTTTATCGGATGCATCTGTTCAATATGTGCCAACGCACCTTGGTTTATACTGTATATCTATATCGCAATATATTAAATATTTTATACATGTACAGCTATCAGTTCGCGTTTATTGGGTCCCGTCTACTGGACCAACTAACGACAGTGCGTGTTTAACTATGGTGTGGGCTGTGGAAATACGCAAGAGTGAGGCTGAACCAGTGCGTAAGGTGCTCCTGGACAAACAATATCTCGATAAGGACTACGCCGTCAAAGCTGGCGAGGAGGGATCATTATGGCTCCCTCTCAATCTGGACATGTATGGACTGGGGGGTGCTCACGAACACAGCGTATGTCTATTCATTTTTAAGTAGCACTGTTCCTTTAGTTCTACGTAGTATGTAGCCTGAATATAGAGAGTATCTGTGCGCAATATGTCTAGGGATAATCCACACAGATTATGTCTTTTGTGGAATTGTGTGGACTGAGGAGGCGTTCGTGAACACCGCGCATGTGCCTTTATTCTGAGTAGTAGCGGTGTGCGTAAAGAGAGCTTGTGTCTTTGTGTACAGCATGTCTAGGAATCACACAATAGTGCGTGGGTCTTCATCTACGACGTCCTGGACGCAGAGCGATGATTGCATGCACACGTCCACAGTAATCGTAGATATGGACCAGGTAGAAAAACTGGTGATGACGGCTCGTCCTTTTCACCGCTCGCCCTGAGTTTGTGTGAGAAAGGGGCTGGTTATGAGCACAGCATGCTCTTCATCATGCATTTTCCCGGGCGCACAGAAGCGTGATCTCTGCGCTCATTCAAATGTCATGTGGTGTTGTGCTCGTACAGGATGTAGTCCTGAAAGTGCGGCGCCCTCACCACATCGTAGAGCGAAGTTGTGAGTGTCTGTACGTGGTATGCCTAGAATTCACTGACACAGCGTATCGGTGACCGTGTACCATCACATCTAACTCCAGCTATGTGGGCGAGCTTGTGTGTGAAGTCGCCCGAGATCTACCATTGAAGTACTCAATTCTTTTACTTACGAACTACACGGAGATGCGCAATGCTGGTAGATTCTACATTGGTGTTTGTGTGCTATTTGTCTCTCATCAGTTATTGAAGTGTATGTCTTTGTGGTAGTCACGGCAAGCAAGGAGGTACAGACGTATGATTTGGTGCTCTGGTTTTATTCTGGGTAGTAAACCTGAGCACTATGAAACATTACACTATTCCGCTGCAGACTCATTCAGAGAAAGCTGAACTTCTACGCGTTGAACTAGACACTCAGTGTCAAGCAGCTGTCATGGCCATCAGTGACATTGACATGCGGTACAAGAAGAAGAAAGCCACTCAGGAGGGCGTCAAGGCACAAGGCACACCAGCCAGTGTGGAATTGGCGCTTGCCGAAATCTTGACTGCAGGTATACTTTGGATCTGTTTAATTTGTGTAAGATTAAAACTTTGCTTTGATGTGATGTTGAGATGTACGTGAATAGTGTTGCATATATGGATTCACGCTTGTCTCCTCGGGTGCGCAGTAGACGCGTCGGCCACAGATACTAATGTGGCGTTGCATGTAACAGCGGATTTTAGCACAGGAGGTACATATTCGATTGGAATACATGATAAGTGCTCATGGATGCATGGATACAAAACAATCATGATGTGCGATCCTGCAATTGCAATGTGTATAAGTTGTTTTCCTTCTGTTGAAGAGTAAACATTACGAGTAATGCAGTGGCGTATCAATGCTGTCGTTTTGTGTTCGCGAGTGGTCAGAGACAATCACAAATATAGGCGACATCGCAGCTTGAAAGCACTACTTCGTTTTATAATATCTTTTCGTTCATTGCTTCCAACAGATGAATGTGGACAGCTGAAAACAGCTATTGATGTAATTGGTGACATTGCTGTAGTTGAGGTAGATGATGAAACCCCGGCACGACTGCGCACAGCCCTGGGCGATGCCGTATTGAAGGCTAATCCACGAATCAAGGTACGCTCATCTGAAGTCTCGCTATATGTAGATTTGAGGACAAGTGATATACACAACTCTGGACCCTAAACTCTAAACCCTTATGTTCACCTGTGCGATTTCTCATGCCACCCCCGCCACTTGTGAATGCTATGTAGGTTGTGCTGAAGAAGGATGGGGGCCATTCCGGTGCATTCCGTATCCAGAAATACTCACACGTGGCTGGAGATAATCGCACCCTCACCACGTGTAGCGAGAACTCTATCAGACTCACACTGGATGTGGCGACTACGTACTACTCACCCAGGTCATCGGCTGAGCGCAAGAGAGTCGCAGCGCTAGTGCGTGCGAAGGAACGTGTGTGTGTGATGTTCTGTGGTGTTGGCCCGTACATCTGTGTGATCGGCAGGCTTAGCGCTTGCTCGAGTGTGGTAGGCGTGGAGATGAATACAGTGGCTGCAGAGTTTGCCAATTTAAATATCAAGAAGAACAAGCTCCAAAAAACCTGTTCGGTGCTAGTTGGCGATGTGCGTGAGGTGTTCCCGCCAGTACACAAGAGCAATCCTTTAGTCAGTGCCGACGAAGTCAGTGATCCCGATTTACCTACCAACCGGAATGTGCATGCAAACTTCGATCGAATTGTCATGCCCATGCCGCATATGGGGGATTCGTTCCTGGATGTAGCACTGCCTCTGGTAAGTCCCGTGGGTGGGTGGCTGCATGTGTACTACTTCAGCACAGATGAAGAAGTCAACTTATTCACAGAGACCATCCCGCGCATCAGCCTTGAGTATGGGCGGCAGACTATCCCGGAGAAGCCGCACCGATGTGGCAATCTAGGACCGAAGATTTACAGGTGGTGCATTGACGTACGCGTGCTTCCTATCTAGTGCTGAGCTATGCTACCGAGGACATATACACGCGTTGTCGATTCGATATACATATGAATACCTCCCGTTTTACCGAGTATACACTAAACTGATGCGGGTCGCGCTACAAATGGTGTCTTGCCGTACGCGTGCATCGGAAAGAAGCGCGTGGTGCTGGCGAGGGCTACCCTACAACTGCATCGTTGATTTAAGCGCACTTGCCATTTCGGGCCGAGGGGTGATGTTTAGGGTCAAGGTAGGTGAAGGTGGCATATCGATATACGCGCACCTCCACGTTGGGCGAGGAATGATTATTTAGGTCATGTGAAAGTGGCTATAGGCGGGGCACCCATAGAGTGACACGCATTGCTTGTAGGACTAAAGCTCGCTGATCCTTTATTGCTCTATGCGTGATTCGCCCGTACGACCCTATGGGTTACGCTGCAGGTGGTGTGTTATTGGGCGCGTCCTTTGCCTTTCGCACCTAAGATGGTGTCGAGGATCCTTCTCTGAGCAAGCGAGTCAAAGGCTCAGTTATTAGTCAGCACACACCGCAAGTCGTGCGGTTCATTGTAGCAGACAACATGGGCATATGACACAGCCGCACTTCGGGCCCGCATGGGTACTGTCAGGATGCGCAGCACACTGTTGCGCCTTGGGTTATTCCGTGATACTTCAACGTGCATGCGGATAGCTACCATAGCAATCACGACCAGGAACCGGCGGATACGATAGCAACGGTTAATATTATTGCCGCATGGTACTATCAGAGCACGTAGCTCATTGATTCGTACTGAAGTATCCTGAGTGATCAGATGGGATGTCGCCACACTTGCAGAGAACTTCCTAGGCCATTCCGCTGGAGTCCACACTCGAATAATACGACAGCCTTTGCCTCCAGCAGTCGGTCGGTGTGGATGAACGCATACGGCGAGCCATTACCTGCGACCTATCGCGCCTAAATATATATCACCATGTGAGGTTGAGGGCTTCACAGTCGGGAAGATTGCTTGTCAATTGCTCGATATTTGGCATATAGTCCCATTCGACTACACGCTCGTAATTTGGCACTGCGATGAACTGAGGTATTCTGTTGTCTTCACGGTGTTGTAGTACAATTGCGTTAGCCGGGTTAGTTCATGGATCTTAGACGAGCGACGAACTTCTCAAAACTGAGTCGCCTTGTGTCAGGCGTCAGTAGGTATCGGCGGTTGGTAGGTAGGTATTCGATGCCCCCGAGATACTGAGTCCACCGGTAAGGCTTGCCATATCTGGAAGAGAGGAGAATTAATCAGCCAAGTAACGGGCGAACTAAATTCATCAAGATTTGTGAATGAAATCAGCTGAAAGATTTAATACTGTGTGTGTGCTACAAAGCGTTTCATATCTCACGATCGCACGCGTTTTGTGGCATTCTCATACACTTCGGAGAACAGGGCAACTTACACAAGATAACACCGCACAATCCTAATTACACGAATTCAAGTTCAGCGTAGATACGCGCGCTTTGATGCTTTCTATTGTGTGGCACCCAGTGTAGCAGCGCCCAATCTTCATTGCAAGGGTAGATACACCGGATACAATCACTCTAGACCAAAGAGGTACTCAGGATACAATCACTATAGACCAATGAGATACTCAGGATACAATCACTATAGACTAAAGAGATACTCAGGATACAATCACTTTAGACCAAAGAGATACTCAGGATGCATCACTTTACACCAAAGAGATACTCAGGATACAATCACTATAGGCCAAAGAGATACTCAGGATACAATCACTATAGACCAAAGAGATACTCCGGATACAATCACTTTAGACCAAATGTTGGTAGGATTCAGTACGACTATCGAATTCGATACGGCCATTCACACATATCAAGCACATGCGGATACTACAATGGTACCGTATCGGTGCGTAGAAGCAACCACATACCCATGCTTCATGGTGCACACAGACACAGAGGTCAGCCCCATTCTGTCGAGTTGGTAATCGTTGGCCGGGTTGGGTGATCGCTTGCCAGTGTCCATGGCGTCGAACTGCGATAGCATGTCAACCCCAACGACACCGTCGGGCGTACGCTCACAGGCGCACATGATACCAAGCTGGGGCAGGAAGCTGAAGATCACGTCTCTTTGCACATCCTCCATCTTGATCACCACAGTCAGCGGGTGGCGGTCGAGTGGCAGGTCCTCAGTCATTTGCGTGGCATCCTCCTTGTATATAAAGTATGCAAGCAAGCAAGCAGGATGTGTATTTAGTTGTGTGCAGCTACTCCTCAGGTTCAATAGCCGAAGCAAGCAAGCAGGATAAGTATAAAGTTGTGTGCAGCTACTCCTCAGGTTCAATAGCCGAATCAAACGGCGGCGCGTAGCACATTGCGAGCTGGAGGCAGCGATACACTGTGTTAAACACTGCTGCTTTCTGTTTCTGTGGTGGCATATCATGGTATCGGGAAACTCCAACTCGCATCACTCTCTGTTGTATGCGACATGACAATCATTCTGTTGCTATAACTTTGGCTTATTGCAACGACTGTCTGAGCATACATGAGTTCACACCCACACTCTGCAGTACTGCGCATGGACCACACAAACATCTGCACATCACCCATCGGCGTGGTCACATTCGGTTCATACCTCCTTCTCCCCCATTGCGGCATTTCGTGCATTAGCCTCTTCCACTACTTTTGCTTTGTTGACATCACCTTCTACCACCACGGAGAAATGGCTATCACCTGTGAATGTATATGCCTGGCATTTGAGCTGTCTAATACTTACTGGTACTAAGCAAAATGTCGTAGACTCGGCATTGGACACAGTGGCGAATAGTGTGATAGATAACAATGCTAGACATGATAGCGGACATGGGGTGAGAATAGTGTACTTGTAGTCGATCGAATATGGCCCAGGTGCATTGGGAGAGGCGGGTACAAGTGTGCTTGCCACGAGACCGATTAGTTGGTATAACGGTCCCTTAGGCCTACCATCCCCGCGGGGATGAAGATAGCCGGAATACTCCGACTTCGTGATATGTGGCAGCCTACTAAAGTATCTTCAAAATTTATAATCAAAACGACGAACATCTACAAGCCATACTGCAATAAGTACACGCAGGCGCAGGCAAAGAGTAGTGAAGTGAGTAGGTCGGGTCTAGTTACACTAAATTTAGTGCATCGGGGACGAATAGAACGAGTGCGCACACGAGTGGCCACACCTGAAGTCGTTTGATGAGCGATTGCGTTCAAGTACAGCGCGTGTAGGGGTGGTGGCAGCAGGTTGGCTGTGTTGTCGTCCCAGCTAGGGGTCTCCGGCGAACTAAAAACGAGAAAAAAAGATACAGACGATGAGGCGCTTATGCTTATAAATGTGGACGTGAGTTTGCATAGAGAAATGAGCAAAACACCACCCCGCACGATCTCAATTCACTTGGGCATCAAGTCTACATAAATCTGCATTGACATATGTTCTGGATGACTCTGCAATGAAAGTCCGAGCCGCAGTGTATTCTCTCGCATCGACACTACCCACACACCCGAAGAGGTCTTGCAGCGGGTCAGCAGCCGCCAGAAGTGTGACCAGGTCTCTTTCGGCTTCTCTATCTCTCTTACGCTTGTCCACTAGTTCTGCGTTTAACTTGATCATCTGCTTCTCCAATCGGCGTTGCTGCTTGCCCAAGCTCAGTCGCTCACTGAGTTCCCAGGCGAGCCTATTGAGCATCAGTTTGTGTGCGTCTAGGGTGTGCGGTGCAGGCACATTGGCTGCAGCCACCTCCATGCTTGTGTGTGCGAGGTCTTCTGCTACTTGTGCGTGGGTTGCTTGTATGACCTGTGCTGGCGTAACATCAGTCTCTTGCCTGAATATCCGCAAGGAGTCGGGGGCGCGCTCGTAAAATTCGGCTATGCTAGACAGCTCGATGTCATCTACTTTTGACCTGCGATAGAAATCCGGGTTGAAATTAGTCGAAACAATAAAAAATTACGTATCTGGCATCTTCGTTGCGTTGTATATGTCATCCGCTGATAGCGTACAGGCCAGTTTTGATTGAGAGAGAAAAAAAATCACTCATATTTGCAAAGCACCTACTCGGATGCACAAATTGTTTGTGCCAATGTTGATATTTTAACAGACTTTTCATGGGAGTATTTGGTGGCAGAGCGTATCGTATTTGGTGCGTTGCTGAGAGGACGATCCGATAATTTAACGAGTCGGAAGTCTAGGTACAATTTCAATGAGCGTCTAGACTACGAAATGCAAATAAACAGCGCATAAATGGGATTTGATTAAGCAGTGCACTCAAGCCACCAAGTGCGAGATACTGGACGATCCCTCCAACCGATATCTTGTGTGCGATTCTACAGCATATACAACCTATCATTTATGTTTCACAGTATCTTACATTGCACGGGAATTGAGAATTCATACTTGAAATCACGGCAGGCTTCACACAGGCGCCAGTAATGGTTTTTTTCGTATCTGAGGAGATCCAATATGGTCTCGCGCTTCTCCACGTTCTCTTTGGCGTCTTCCGTTTCGTTCTAAGAATATTTCAAAATCGCAGTGCATGGGATTTATAGCAACACAATAAAATGTGCCTTTCCAAATGTAAACTTCGAGATTTTGCACAAAATGTTGATCTTAGCCATGGATTCTCGCAGTCCTATGCAGACTTAAAAAATGACCCTTTAAGAGGGGCTGAATCCGCAGTGATCAAAACGACAGCAAGCGTATCAAGATATGGATGGTTAAGCGACAGCAAGCGAAGAAAGATATGATATGGACGTTTGCTGTGTATGAACCAGTTTGGAAGTCGAGCCGCAAAAAGAATATACCATGGCCTCCTCAACATTGGACCACAATGCCACGTCCAATGATTTGATCTCCAATCGGATTCCTAGGATTTTGCTCTCAGTATCTTCCTTATACGTTTGGAATTCTTTGTCTGCCGCATCGCTGTCACCCTGTCACAATGAATAAAGCAAGAAGCAATTGGTGTGAACATACTCTGTACTAGTCATGTATTTACGGTTGCAAAATGTGTTTCACCAGCAGTATACGTTTACTATTTTGTGAGCGATGAATAGGGCTAATGCAGCAACACGCTGCGAGTCTCGTATATATTCTCTAAAAATTAAAAAATGTTCAGATTGCGTTTTGTGTTCACTACTGTAAGCATACGTCCAATATGTTCATATCATCATCTTCGCCGCCATCGGCTGCTAATTGAAACTTCTTCTGCAGATAACTGGATTCGGCGGCATCAAACTCTTCTATAAGTGACGTGAACTCTGCAATTAAATGCTCTAAACGTGACGCCACTTTTTCGTGACTGGAATGGCGCTCGCTCCCTGTCCAATATAAAACATTTGCAGGTTGAAATACCGTAAGAGATTATATGAAACGTACTATAAGGGCGTGCGAGTTTCTTGTATAGAAGGCCACTAAATCTAGTGTGAGAAATAATATTTGCACGAACGGGAGCGGTTTACAAGATGCACATGCAAGGTGTTCTAGGCGGCAAGTGAGAGTATAAACAAAAAATGTAAGCGTGCGAGTTTTGTACAGATCAATCGATATCATCGCAAGAGTGATCATTCGTGTCTAAAACTCAACAACATGATGCAATGCAGAGCGAGTTGCTGCACAGACACCCTGCTTGCCGATCAGCACTAACTACATTGACCCAAGTACATACACAATAAGATAAAAACCCCACATGGAATCTTCTACTAAGTTAATGACAAACGTATATGTATATACACAAATACATACATATATATATATATATATATATATATATATATATATATATATATATATATATATATATATATATATATATATATATATATATATATATATATATAT